ATTAACTTACAGATTGGAGTCAGAGTTGAATAACAATATGACGTTGAACTTCCTTATAGTCTTGCAGTTCGAATGAAGTCACACGAAGCCAGTCGAGTGACTGATTTGGTGCGATGTTGGGTTATCTTATATCCCAGGTCTATCCCCATCCTAATCCATCCTTGCTGGTTTGTGGTGGGCATGTAATCCTCTTACTGGAGGATGGTCACACAATGACATTAAGCCGTGTTGAGTGAAAATCTTAACTGATCTACTCAAGATCTTCCCGCTCACCTTATCAGCTACTTTGACCGAAATCCGCTTAACGGGAGAATTCCCATTGCGATCTCAAAAAAATCTGAGGGAAAATTTTGTCGTGTCGATGTTTCCTTGTTTCGATGTTTTGTCATGTCGATGTTTTACCTAGTCGATGTTTTGTCGCGTCGATATTTTGTCGCGTCGATGTTTTGTTACGTCGATGTTTTGTCATGTCGATGTTTTATCGCGTCGATGTTTTGTCGTTTCGATGTTTTGGTGTCGATGTTTTGACGTGATACCGGTTCCGAGAAGGAACTCTCATCATGCATAAGTCCGTCGAGATACGAAAGAAGGCTGTAACGGAAAAAGTTCAGGGATTCATCCCTCCCTTCTACGTTCGATTACCAATCACATTAACCTCCTCCGCCCAAACCCTTCTTCATTCACCTCTTTTCCCTCCTCTTTCCTCTTCCAATCTTGCAGGAGTAAAACGTCCCGAACTGATTGAAATGGATTGCTTTTTCCATTTCCACCGATTAATGGAATGCGAATGGGTTGCCCGCCGAGATTCAACCTTGCTTGCCCGTGCGAGCTACCTTTCGAACACGCATCTTTACGACGTCGAAAAGAAAATCGTTCTGATGTCTCCTTCGCGTGTGCACAGGAGAGACGGCAACTGCACCCTGGGGAAAATGGCTATTGACTTATAGACCGAACGACATAAGCACAACATAATGATGATAGAGTGTAATCAAACAATTAGCATACGCAATCCTGTTGTCATCAGATTTTCACTAATGGGAAATTCATGAATTCATAAATGAACGTCATACACAATAAAAAATACGTAATTTCGCAATTATGATTACTTTTTCGACAATGGCTGGAGCAAAGAGGCCTAAGAAGGAAAAAAAACTTGCATAAAAAAAACTTGCCTTGTTCTGTTTGCTTTTTATTCGTTATATATTTTTCAGAAACTCTTATGATTACAAGAGTGAAATGCACAGAAACAGGCGCACGATGTGCAGAGGTAATAAAAAATGCGTAATAGCAAATGCACGTTTTAAGGATTAGAGGTGATAATAATGGAGGGTAACAGATATTAAGATAAAGGGAAAGGCTTTTAAAATATGAGAGTTCGAAGGATACCATACCTGGGTACATGGCATTGTGAAGACGGATGCGTTTTCCGGATACGGTCTAACGTCGTGGTCTTGAGTGTCTCTTGCATGTGATTGCGAGTACCTCTGCACCATTATCCCCAGTTGAATAGTTAATCTAGCCTGAATCCCAGTACTTCGGTTCGTCCTTGATCTAATTGCACTTCCATCCTGATCATGTGATGCGTTTGGTATGTCTCCCCCCTCCCCGCCTTCGCGCATTTAACCCTCGATGTCTTGTTTATCCTCCTTCACCTTCCAAAAACACTTGACGTACCCACGATACTTCAAATCATTTCCCCTCTCTCGTCTACCGCATCTACTCATCATAAAAACAGCAGTCTCTCCAGTCGACACAACCGTATAAGGGGCTCCAAGAAGAGCTCCCCAGATTTCTGTTCGACTCCGATGGGAACCGTCTCGGATTCTACTTCACATCCCTTCCTGCGGCGCCTGCAATCTTCTGTTTTTTCATTAACTTAGCCTTCCCTTGCGGTAAAATTCTTTCTCATCTCATGAGCATGTCTCGACCGTCTTCCAAAACTCCTTCCAGCTAGTCCCGCACCTTCGACTCTGCATCTGGTGCACCTTCACTCGTCCTCCGGCGGGAGCCACGGATGGACGAAGAGGTCTCTCGTTTCGTTTCCCAGTCCGTCCCTGCTCATAATCCGTCTGCTCGTTCCGATGCAACCGCCAGCTGCGCCGTCTAAGTCTGCAACTAATAGCGAGGCAGAGACTGGCTCAACTAATCCAGACCACTCATGCTTCCGAGAGGGGTTTCCGAGGACCACCCATCATCCCAAATCATGGCCCAAAGATAAAAATTTCCTTTCTCTGAGACCAACACGAGACCCTTACGTGTAGTCCTCCTGCTCGATTTGGTCTACGGCCTCGACAACTTGAACCTTCTCATCTGTTCATAGCAGCATTCAACATTTAAATAGTGATTATTTTCATTTGTAAGTTCTCATCTCATCTCTAGTCACTCGCATCAGTTCACAATTGCGACAGTTTGGATCTCATCTGAACGGAATTGGGTTCAGTATTGGCCTAAGCAAAAACGCTTTAATTGGATTGGAGTCTGTTTTTTGTTAAGTGACGACGTTAGCGTTTCGTTGGGATTTCCCTTGCTCAAATTGATTGGCAGCGACAATATTGCAAGAAAGTACCTGCGTTCATCGACTCTACACCCGAGATTTGACTGTTGTGCCTCTGAATACCAAAAACTTTTACGATATTTCGACAGGAGCTCGGGCAGTCGTGGGAAATGGAGGAGGGGAGGAGATTCACGTGAGAGCGGGGAGCGTGCTGGAGCTGGACTGTGGGATCGAGGGGGCAACGGAACCCCCCGAATACATCTTCTGGTATCACGGGGATCGCATGATCAACTTCGACCACCGACCCGGGCTTCACATCACCAACCACCACGCGTGAGTCTCTTGCTCCTGCCTTCAACTTGGGGTCCTTGGGGAGATTCCAAGAACCGCAATCTCTCGTCGTCCTTAATGCGTTGCTATCAAAAGCCATCCGAGGAAGAAGAAAAGGCGGAGAAGGAATGCGCGCAATTAAGGAAGAAAGGAAATAGAGAAATATACAGTAGATGATCGTAGATGTAAGCCCGTGTATGTGAGGATGGCTCATTAGGGAAATGGGCCCTGAATCATTTAGGAGATGGCCCCCCTATCGGCAAAGACGCCAACACAACACAAGAAGGGCCGCATTCTCGACCATTAGAACAAGGACTGTCTTCGAGACGAAAGATTATTGGATGAGCTCGAAGAAACATTTCAGAAGAAACCTTGCGAGACAGATCTGTAGAGTCGAATCTTCCCTCGTGAAAGGTTCGACGTTGTCCGTTCCACGATTGAGTCGTGCAAAGGGAAAGGAATCGGATTGGGAAATCGACAGTCGGTTCTCTCGGGTCTCCTATTGTCATTTTACAAAGCTCTGGGGAAGAAAAGGGAACGAATGAATGAACGACTGAATGAGCGAATGAATGAATGTGCTCACAGATCCAGCTCGTTGGAACTACGAGGGGTGGAGGTGAAAGACTCGGGGAATTTCACCTGTCATCCGTCCAATGCTCAGCCGGCTTCCGTCATCGTGCACGTTCTCAACGGTCTGTCTCTTTCTTTCGGCCTGGAATAGGAAAAAATTTTCCACTCTTTATCAGATGTTAGCACCTCGTCTTATTATAGCCTAGAAAGGCCTTCCTCGATTCTTTCCTTTACTTTGGAATCGAGCCAAATGGATCCCCACTGTGTCTGCCAGAGATCTGTTCTCTCGCTGCCAATGCAATCCCGTGGTTTTCAGAAGAGAGAGAGAGAGAGAGAGAGGAAAACTGGAGGGGACGCCCCCCGGCCCCCTCGGCCCCCCCGGCCCCCCACAGGCCCTGTAGAGTTACTGGTTGGCATAAGCTTTTCAATTTCATTGAAATGATCTACATGTATCTTCCATTTGTTAAAAGTTTCATATCATTTGCCCTTTACGGGTTCATGAGTCCATGTCAGGGCTGATATTTCACGTATATAGCACATCTATATTATAGTTGATTAATTGCTTTTGGGATATTATAGTTGATTAATTGCTTTAGGAAATGATGGATGCCTGCTTTACATACAAAGAAGGTTCATGAAAGAATCTCACCTATTTTCTCCCTGATCAGACACCCTGCAAACGTCTGAGGTAGAGAAAGAGAGAAAAAGGATGAGGCCTTTGCATGTTCTCCACCATGCATAATTACGGTCGGATATGAACACATGCTGTTGCAAGATCTGAGGCGCTCGAGCATGACATTTGTTGATTTTCTCACGGACCCCCTGACACAATGATTATTCTTCCATCCTCAGCGTCTAAGCGAAAGCGGAAAGTATGTTATGGAGTGTTTGGCACGAAGATAGAAATGATATTGTGATGAGGAAAATAAGTTCTAGTTGCGACATTGTCTTAATGGCAAAACAATAAATAAATATTGGTGAAGGTGCAGCTGCCAATGCCTTGAATTGCCCCCCCCCCCCCCCGGGACGTCTGAGCTTAGACAGATCATCGTCATCTCCGTGACTTGTTCCATCTCATCCTCTTCACAGACTCTCTCTCTCTCTCTCTCTTTCTAAAAAAAAGAGATTCTGTCGTGAATCTCCTTCACCTTACATACCACTGCATCCTCAGTATCTGTGGAAAACCAACTACTGCTCTCTCCGAGTCATGTACTCGCGAATGCCCATCAGTTGGTAATGGATCGGAAGTTCTTGACTCCACATGATGGATCGTCTTCCTCCACTAAAATATCCCGTCTTGGTATTTTACTTTTTTTCCCCTCCATTTCCCATCGAGCATATCTTATAAAGAGGGAGTTGGGCATTTTAAATTTGGGGTCGGGATGAAATTGCAATCAGGCCGTAATGACAACTAATTATCGTAAACGATGTATCGCAGCAGATACATCGATGCTCTCTTATGTTTTATAGATGTCTCTGGTAATGGAAAATTTCTCCTGTCATTAATTTGCCTCGAATGTCGATGTGCTAACAGGGGAGCATCCAGCGGCAATGCAGCACGGGAGTCATTCGGCTGCTCCGGCCAGTTACAGGGTCGAGGTCCTCCTCTCCCTCACACTCCTCTTTCTGCATTCCCGATACCCGATTCAACTTCCCACATGAACCCTCGACGTGGAGAAACACGACCGGTACGGAAGTGGAAGAGACCAAAATCGTCTGAGTGAATGAGTGCTATGGGAAGACGTTGCCGTGCAAGGGATTTCGATGTCGCGTGATTTCTTCCCAGTGCTGACATTCCCCAAAAAGAAATGGATATTCCACAATTCAAAGATATTCACGGTTTTGCCACACTGAACTCTTTATTATCCGTTCCCTGCCAATAAAGTGAACCTTGTCGTTTAAATTTTTTTTTTCGAATTCGCGTCGTCGGTCGTGCGATTCGACCCGTGATGTCACGTATCGACGCATCTGACACCGCATGCCACTCAATCAATCGGAAGGGATGAAAAGAAAGTTCTCCCGATATTGGGAGGAGAGAAAAAGAGTTCGTTGTCTGCCTTTCTCCGTGCCATTCAAGCTTTATCAAGGGCCGTGGGCGTGATGAAAAGCAAGTCTACTTTTTCCTCGTTATAAGTTTCGTCAATACTTCTTCCCCGATTAACAGCCTGTTCTTTTGTAAAGGAACGGGAAGACAGCATTCCCGATCGCCCGAGAGTCTGGCCGGAATGCAAGGCATGAGGATCGTATCGATCCTCCGGCTTCCCAATTAAGGCCAATGCAAACATGGTATGGCATTGATTGGGGGAATGGCTGTCAAGGATCCCTGATTCTTCACAGTCACTGACCGATCCATTCTTTTTTCTCTTCGGAAGCCCTTCTCCCGAAACGAAGTCACTCATGACGCTCACGTACCTCGTTTACTGTCTGTTGCCTATTTTGTCACGAGTCGACTCCTGACATGCTGATGCCAACGTACTGTAGATAAATCTTGGGCCCGTGTGCTGGACACGTTGAGAGAGGGAACCCGTATTGATTGCTCCAAAAATAATGCAGAAAGACGGATGGGGGGGGGGGGGGGGGGAAGGGGGGAAATGAGCGAAGGACCACTTTGCTATCGAGCAGCATGCCACTGCATTTGAAGTTCGGATTCATCTAATCCTCGTTGCCTGTCGTGTCGTCTTCAATCCTGCTTCTCCGCTCCAGATCGACACGGCAGCAATGAAGCACACGGCTACAAAAAATCGCTGTACCCAATTTCTTTTTAATTGTAAAGACCCCTTGGAACCTCTCTACTCACCTCTAAGACGGGTGGGCAGTCGCACCTTTTCCATTTAGAGGGTGTATGCCACTGGTTTGTATTAACACAACGCCGGTTTCCTTTCTGTTCCGGCCCTTATCGCATGATATCCAGCATGCTGAATGTCTTCCTGATTCCTGGTGCTGAAACTGCAAGTGCGCTAGAAAGGTATGAGAGGCAATTCGAGAGACTTTGTTGAGCATTTTTCTCATTCCGAGTGCTCGCTACTACTGTTTTTTATGCGATTTAAAAGAGTGAATATCCTCTAAATTGCGATATGTTCAAAAAATAAAAAATAATAAAAATAATAAAAATTTTAAAGAGAAATTGAGAATACCAGTTTTCAAATCAATATCAAAATATTGAATCTGAATGAACGCGCAGTACTTGGGATAGTTGCATGGACCTCATTTATTCGAGACTCACGAATGGGGAATGAGATGGATGACGGATGCGGGAAAGACAGATGATGTTGCATAATAGTGGCGATCCAGCCAAATTCCGAGACGGGACAGCAGGAAATGAGGCGAGAAGAGATCCGGCAACCGCATTCACCGATTCGTCATGACGAGAAATATCCCCAGTCTGGCAGAGTCGTTTAGCAGTGATGCACGAGGTCCATTCGTGTCTCTTCGCGATAGTTTGCAAACTTACGGACATACGCGAAGGCATAAACTCAGCAGCTGCATTGCTAAGACTGTAGGGCACGTAAGTACGAAGATGAAATTTTGCCGAGTCAGACGGTCTTCCTTCCCTCCTAGGGGCCCAAAGTCACTACAGTAATACCCGCTTAACGCTATCCCGTATAGCGCTGTTTCGTTATAGCGCTCTTGATCCTGGAGAGGAAAATTTTTAATGAAACTCCCTCCCCCCCCCAAAAAAAAAAAATAAATAAATAAATAAAATAAAATAAAATGAAAAAAAAATCTAGAATCCAAGTCAAAATTTATGAGTCAGAATATTCACAGCTCGATTCGCATTCTCCATATATACAATGGCTCCTTTTAGCGCTGCTTCAGTTACCGCTCTCTTTTCCAGGAACGCATCCTGAGCGCTAAACGGGGTATTACTGCATTTCCATGAAATCCGACCAGGTGCGACCAGCCTCTAGCCTCTTTTCTCACTTCAAGCCATTACATGTTGAAAGTTCCAACTTGACAACTTCACAAAAAATCGTCGAGCCGAATCCGGCGATGTGCCCTCTCTTTTAAGAGACATCGTCCGAGAGTTCGTCGGTTCGCTTTAGGTGACAGCAATAATCAAATGTCGGAAAAGAGGCGTCGGGCGGGGGCTTAAAGCAAAATCTCAAGCCTGCACTTTCTCACCAAGGACTTCCGCGGATGCTCTCCAGGTCGCGGGTCAACCGCACTCGGTGGGGAAGCTGGTAGAAACTGACATTCCTTCCATCCGAGATGCGGTGGGGAGAGAGGAAAGGGGGAAGTCATCCACCTCTATGCATCCAATTGTCCTCTCCACTTTCGTGCAATGGATCCCCTTCCGTCGTCTCGTTTTCTGTGGCCTGGATATTCATTCAATTCGGCCTTTCTAACTCCTGTCTCTGCATTCACGAGCCTCAATGTTCTCCGTTGGGAATACGTGATTCCCCCGGAGAGTCGTATCATGACAGACCTATCTCCATCATCTCTTTAATTGAACCTTGCAATAACTTATCACATTAATGCAAGTTTTAGGACCCTCCGATGGGATCATGCGTTTCGCTCGGATGCAAAGATAGAAAAGAAAAAAAAACCGTAATGCTTTGCTTTCGCTTCTGGTCTGGGCGTCTGTGATTTAACCCTTTCAGACCTGGCGTCCATTCCAATGGACATTGCATTTTTATTGCGTCTATGGTAATTTTTCGAGATTCTCGTGACTTTGCGCCCCATATTACACTACAATGAGAGCAATTAGGCATGGCTCAATTCCATCGGAGGCCTTCTTCCACCCGTCAGTTTTATCATCTTCAGTTATCTAGTTAATTTAATAATATATTATATATGGTATGATATGGTAAATTTATACAAAATATAAAAACGATATATAAAATATAAATTATAATTGCAAAAGAGCTCAAAAATGCAAAAAAGGATATTATTCTGATTCTGGTCTTAATTCAGGTATGAAAGGGTAAATGTGGATTTTCATGGTTAACTTTCGTGGATTGTGTGCGTTACTGTTTCCAGCTATTCGTATTTATAGTTCTTCCAAAATTTAATGGAATGATGGTTCTATTGTTGATACAACTGAGATAATGCTGTTGATTCATGTACACTATTGCCATCCATTACATTTTTTTAAATGATAATCAACATTTTGAACTTATTAACATCGTCTAGCCCGTGTCACAACCGTTCGGAACGCTTATTTTGCACATACTCTACTTCTCGTCGCTTGTCTGGAAACCTGGAAGGATCTGAACCCTGGATCCCTAGTTTCCTTCTTACTAAGAAATTGGACTTGGTCTCGGAGAGAGAGGAGATGAAACCATCTCATCGTGGCTAATCATCCCTTCTTAGACCGATCTACGTCAATCATTCATCATGGCTGAGAAAATATCCGGCTCCTATCCAGGCGTTGCCAAGGCCACCCTGATGTTTGCTACTGTTTCTATGTAATGATAGTCGCCACAAATAGAATATTTTCAAAGACTGAAGAGGTAAGTTTAATCAGCACGAGAGAGGTCTTCCTCTTGCGTGCTAATTCTTCCGTTTTACGAGTATACATGCGTCGATACGGCTGAGCAGACTTAATGATTATCTGTCTTGAAGAGGTGGAGATTGTGTTTTCCAACCGTTATTTCGCAATCTGGGATGGCCGACAGGACCGGAGTGCACATCATGGAGTCACGGTTTCGCAAAGAAACGAGACTAAGCATTGTTGCAGTCGCGACGACGGTACTTCTAATCGTCTCCGAACGAACGTCTGCAGGATTTAGGGATAATGAAGGCCCCGATGTCTCGGATCGGGGGACATGACGTGAGTCCCAAAGCGACTCCACGTTCCCTCCCCTCCGAGAATGAAAGGAGAAGAAACCAGAAACAAAGGAGGAGGACTGTCTCTGCCCATGCAATAATTTAGATGAAGGTCCCGTTTTATGTGTACCTGGCAAGAGTCCCAGCTTGAAAAGGCTCATATCCCGGATTCAATGTACCGGAAAGGGCCCGTCCATGTCCATGTCCACCCTGCTTCTTTCCTCCCTTTTCGTTCTTCCTCCATAACTTTCCCATTCGCATATGCCTTTGTAATGCATACGGGGTGTGTCAGAAACAGAAACACCGTGGAACACGAAAGGGTCCCTTTAACTAAAGCGGAAAGTTGAGAAAGCGGGAATGTGAAGACCAACTCGTGGATCGGGTATCGTCACACGTACTGTACTTCGGTCTCGAAAGTCGTGTGAAAATATCTGTATGTACGACTTCCGGACTTGTTGCTCGGTTGACGACAATATTATCAACCGTCGGTGGGCAGAATCTCTCCTTTGACATTTCCATGTCGAAACATGGTCCGAGGCAGGTCGGTAAATGGACTTCAAGTAACCACTTCGCTAAAAGTTTTGGGTCGTAAGATCTGGAGATCTCGTGAGGCAAGGAACGTGACCCCCCCCCCCCCCCACTTGAAATGACGCGAGCGTGAAACGTCGCCCGCAATACGGGTATGGTCTCACCTGTCGTGTGTTCAATCGTGGAACCACGTGTCCAATGTCCTGTCGACATTTTCGTGTAGTCGTTGAAGTTCCTGCCGTGCCAGTGCCAGGAGCCTCTGCCGATAACTCTTTCCCTTTTCACTGTAGCACTGAAACCGTATTGATTTTCGGGAAAATGCGTGGGCCCCATGGCAACGATATATTAAGCGTCAGCCACATCATCTCTACGAGTTAGACTTGATATTCCCACAGTTTCGACTGGGTTTTCTTCTTGAAAAATAAATCTCCTTATATTGAATCATGTCACTATTTCTGTCACGCCCTTTACATCGCCGTATATGCAAGGTGGTTAAAAAAAAAACCCACCAAGCATGACGTTTCTCAGTTTCTCACGTCTACTTGGGCTGAGTAAACTCAGAGTAATTGGATCTCTGTTTACCCTACTTCAAGTACCTTCTATCGAGCACTTAAATTGGAGAACCTGATTGAAGTGTTTCAATTAAAGTACTTCCTGTATTTTGCGACAAATCATCGAATCCCTTACAAAACGTCCACCTGCCAGGTGGATTTGGAACTAGGTGGATGTCACCTTGGGCGTATTTCCAACTGTTGGAGCGATGTCCACCTGGTTAAAAGTCCGCTAGGGTGGGACATCCACCAGGTTCAAAATTCACCTTGCAAGTGGATGCTTTGGACGGGATCCCCCACGTTAACTGTAACACTGCGATGGCCATTTCTCTTGAGGGGCAGATACTACGCGAGAGGTCTTGAATCAAGGTACGAACTGGTTATTAGTATTCTTAGCAAAGGGTTTGGCCTTGCATTTGAAGGGCTTATACGCATAGTTCGAAGAAATCTTTCGCGCACGGAAGCGATACAATCAAGGATTTTTATTTCTTGCCTTAAATGGGAACACCCGAATGACATCTTTTTTTTTTTTTAACCAGACTGTTTCCTTTCTTCACATTTCGAGGTTTCAGCAAGAACGAGATTTTCCCTCCAACCGTTATCGTGGGACAACGTGCATTTCATTCAGTTGGCTGTCGCCATGCATTTTCTGGAGAGCCCGCCCGAAAGGAACGTCTTTTTACCGTCATTTGCATGCATATGAGACGCATTTGAAATGGGCCGAAGAATTATTCGGAAGCAACATTGTAATGACTTTATTTCTTTTTTCTCTTCTGCTTCGCTTCTTCCAAAAATAAAAAAGGAAGACGAAAATCTCTTTTCCCTTCGAAAGCCGCGATTATTTGAGAATTTTCTTTTATTCTTTTGGTCTTGCATTTTTCAGGGAAATTGCCTGAAGCAATCCCTCTGTTCCGAAATGTTTACATTCATCGTTGCGTCTCGTGGTTTTCGTGGTTTTCACTTTAGGAACCCTGAATTTTTTTAGATTTTCCTTTCGACTCGGGAATTTTAAAAAGTAATCCTTACAAATACAACGTTTTTGCGATGGTTGATTTTAAGGTGTTTCTTGTGACCTTCAACCTTTTCTCATCCGGGAATTCCTTCATATATTCGCTCCTCGAATCCACGCATCCGGTAATTGCAATTTCTTTCTTAATGGATTTCCGACGGGTGAATGAAACGAGAATTTGGCCTGATGAATGAAGCCAGTGGGAGGTAGCAGAAGAAACAGCTGTCGTTGTCATCGGCAGGTGACGGCGAAAGGAGGTCGGAAGGAATGGAAGAAGCTTTGCCCTGGCCTTTCTCTCCTTCACCTTGAGACGTCAAAGTTCGAGTCGTCCGTCTCTCTCCATCAGAGCCTCACTCCCTTTCGGGGCATCGATCTGGCATCGTACTGTCATCGAGGCGACGGGGAGAAATGACGTAATACATTGCCCACTCGTTCATCGTGTTATAACTTTTCGGTTAAAGTTAGACGTGTCGCCAGAAATAGGAACACCAAGAAGGAGTTGTGCAATCTCGAGGAAAGACAGCGTAAGAGCTTGTGGCACAGTGATACGAAATCGATTGCAAAATTAAAGTCGAAGCATGTACCATGCTTAAGAAAAACTCTCTAAACGCCCTAGTTTAAGGGCATCGAGGGAGGTGCATGTACTTTTTCGTACTTGCAGAATTAGACATCATCGCCGGGAATTCAACAGTGAAGCGATGCCGAAGTGGCCTTGTCGACGATAGTTTCCCCCTCTTCACCTGGTTGAATGAGGTGGGTGAAAATGGCAGGCACGGCTGTAGGGAAGAGCAAAGGTGCTACCGGGTGTCAGACCCAATGGTAATTGTATCGGTAAAAATCCCACCCTTTCTACTCAACTTTCCTCAAACTTGTCAAGTGACAAATGAACGAAACTTGCTAAAAAAAAAATATGTCTAGGCATTGATTCACAGCCGAACACATTACAATCTGTGGTATTGGATTCCTTTCCGTGGTACTGAATCACGGAAAGGAGAATCAGTTGGAATGCTCTTGTACGCAGTCGGCCTCTAATCAAATTGGCTCGAAATAGGCTCCGGCTTTCTCGCCTCTTTCATTGGAACTAATCTTATTTCAGCGTGAATCTCCAACCCTATCGAGTACTCGATCGATTTAATCATAATCCCAAAAGAAGCCCTATTACTCTTTTAATCTCGTGGATGGAATGAAAATGTGCCATGCTATCATGATCATCCCCGTCACGGAATCTCTGCTCCATTTGGAGATTCATTCGTGAATTCACTAGAGAATATTGAGAACCGGCAGAATCCCTATTGTTCTCATGGAAGCCTAAGAAAAGGTGGAAAGTTCATTCAATGTTCACCCTGTGAACATTGAATGAACACCAGTGAAATATTCACGGTTTATACATATTAAGCTCAACGAGTTCCATCCCATAACATTCAAATGAGACTTAAGACCACCCAAGTGAAGAAGGATGAAAAGTCGAGGATCTGTCCCGTCATCAGGGATCCAAATTATTGTAACTTAGAGCCTTGAACGGGCTACGGGTCGTGAGGCTCTGTTGGCAACCGGATTTCGGGTCGGTGAGTGCATCGTCCATCCTTTTCGCCTCCTAGGCCTACCGGGAAGAACTCTTTGTTTCCCTAAAAACGCACCTGACTTTTACGGTGATTAAAAGGGAAAACCATTATAACAAAAGAGGGGAAGGAGGAATCTTTACGTAATTTCTAAGTAAGAATAATGGTATGTTGTCACTAGGAGGATGGGACAACCCTGTAACCGACTGGGGCAAACACATAAAACGAAACCCATAAAGATAATGAAAAAGTCACACCATCATGATGACTTTAAATAAATTAAGTCGAGGCCAACACTGAAAAGGTAGCCAATGGGACAGAAGGGGGCCAAGTCGTACATCCAATCCGAATTCCGGATTTTTTAGGAAGGTACCCTGGCTCCTCCCAGAGGTGCCAAGGATATTAGCAAGAGACTTGGACGCTGGAGTCAGTCGCTATTCGGAAGGCACCATTGTGACCTTACCATATCCGGAGCTGACTCCAGGACAACCTATCAGCTGTAAAGGTTAGCCCTGTCCCTTGGTTGTGTGAGGAGTGTGGCCCGAGTAACAGAGAGAAAGGACAGTAAGATAAATAACCTTCATTCAAGAGTAGAATTTTCCCCAGTCGGATCCTTCTCCCATCCAATATTAATTGTTATATTGATTACTATTATCCTATTAAAGAAACTCTGTTCTATTTGGAGTGTCCAAAGAATACTTGGATAGATTTCTTGTTAAATTCTTTAACAAGTACGATGGATAACTGTTGCTTTTTATATTTCATTATTGTTTTTATTTTTAATAAAGTTAAGTACTTTATTTGGAAGAATCACGAGGATTTCCATTTCTCCAGAAATTCTGTCTGGCGAACCCGCCTTGACCCTCGAATCTGGAACGGGGCAGGTGATCAAATAATATTGATCACTTGTTACGTCACACATGTACTGCATACTCTTGACCCGAAGGAGGTAATGCATGCCATAATAAGTATACCAGGCGTTCTATCGTGAGGCGAGTAACGTCAGAGACATTGCTCCTCGTCGTCATTCCTCGTTCCTTCACTCCCCCGGTTATAAAATCAAATGACCAGAACGAGAAGGAAGAGAATAATCGTGCATGTCACGACGTCATTGACTCAAATGTGGCCAACTGCTACCCACGAGCTATGATATCATGCAGCCCGACACTGAATAGAATGTGGGGGGATCATGCGAAGAAGGGAGGAAGTGCGGCAATGAATCTGCACGCCATTCTATCACAATGCAAGGGGAATAGGCAATATAAAGACGGAAGGCACAATAGTGCCCTTCCTTCGTGCCGCATTCCCCTCCTTTTATTTGGGAGCAGGACATCTTGCTCGAGACCAGACGAGGTCGTCGATTCCCGACCATGCCATAATGGTATACAGGATATTAGACCGTCTTGAAGCCGAGAGGGATACATTCCTTGCCATGAAAATCAAATTTCACGGGGGGGGGGGGGGAAAGGGGAACCGGAAGCAAAAAATACATCCAAAAATGGTTGTAATTTGATCACCTGCCCCGTTCCAGATTCGAGGGTCAAGGCGGGTTCGCCAGACAGAATTTCTGGGGAAATGGGAACCGGAAGCAACAGATACATCCAATAATGGTTGTCGTGCCAAGAATATTTCTTTATCCTTCCCACCGTGAGGAAAGAAACTCCTTTCCTCTTGCGGACCTTAAAAGAAAGCATTGGGAGACGCAGTAGTGCACCCTCATCCGTAATCTCCTGCAGTTGCAGCCGAGAGATAGCGACGAACGAGGACTTTCAGGGTGTCATTCCGTCCGTCCAGGCTCCCTGGATGCTTTCTGACTCCATGGATGTCTCTTTTCCGCTTCTGTACCCTTTTTCTTCCTTCCCCCCTGCTCCTTTATTTTTTATTTTTTTTATTGAGCGTGTTGAGTAGCGTAGAACTTACCACTATCACACGTGCGGAATGTGGCACTAACCGTAACAAATGTGCATCCAAAGTTGCACTTTTAGCCTAGTAAGAACTGCCACGCAATCGGGTGGTTTACTTCATGGAAATTGGAGGGGAGGAAACGAGCAGTGAGCACGACCTAGGTGACTTGCTATACTGTATATGCACAGCCTAAATGTGCCGCTCAAACCACTTCCTGGAGGGTCCGACGGATAACACGAGACTCAGCCAAACAGGCTACCACCGAAAACTCGACCCGTCTAACTGCTAACGAGTTTCTTCGTCCTTCATCTCCCTTATCCCAACCTTTCTTCCTTCACTTCATTACTAAGATGCTGCAGAAAAAGGTTGAATGGATATGGAACCTCTCCTTTCCATTCCTTTTTCATTCTGGAATGGACTAGTTGTATACTGCGAGGACGAGAAGTGAAGCGTCCACGGTCGAAAAATCTAGCTCCTCCCGTCTGAGTTGCACACGCTAGGAATCTTCCTTCAAATTAGTCAATTCTGATACCTAATCCAAATTTTACTTATCAAAATGCAGTCTCGAGAAACAATTGGAGAAGACTGCTAAAATTGAGACTACTAATGAATCAGCAATGAAATGTGAATACATTCTGTCAAATCACGATCCTTTAGCTCGCGATTTCAATCGCGATTCTATCGAAGAGAGATTTAAAAACTTTCCATCACTTTTCGTCGAACATCCCCGCAATGACTGGCACATCACCCCACTTCTGTTACTCATTTTTTACATGTAATTTTCACAGATGTGGAAGAGATGATGGCTTCTTCAATGCCATCCTGGCTCCAAGTCCATGAGGACCGATGTGGCAGATGCTATTGAGGTTTCACGAAGTCCCTATCTCTCTCGCTAGTGTAAGGGCACAGAATGACTTTAGCTCCCGTCAAAGAGAGAGTAGGTGATAGCGAAAATACAGCCTGTGAACCAACTGCAAGTCGGATTTTCACCTGGACCTCACACGTGATAACCTCAGACCCTAATTGAGACTAATGACCCGCGACGACGCAGTCAGAATTCTCGGTCTCGCCCCAGAATGGAATCACTCCGCATGCCCACCCATGTTATCCGGGAAAAAAAAAACATTACTGACGGTTCCTTCAATAGACTTGGCCTTCTGAAAAAACCAGATGCCGGTGATAACGTCAAAGTGAAAAAAGATTAAGGAATTGAAATCTCGTCGTCGACGATCTTGGAGCAGGAAATCTCTTCGGCTTTTCCATAACCTTATCATCGGAAGAAAGGAAAAGGTTTCCACTTCCATTTCCTATCTCACAGAGAACCTCTATGCATTAGAAGGATTGAATAGTGACGTCACAGCCGAGTCGTGACAACTCCCAGGGCTTGACGAACACCTCATGAAGGTATTATTTCTTCACTGGAAGGGCTATAAGAGCTCACGGAGCCTGAGAATGGCCTCCATACTTGAAGGAGGGAATCTCATCGCACGACTGCGACACAGATGCCATATACGAAAGAAATTATTGAAGGGAAGCCAGAAGTGCGGTCGATAGGAATCGGGATTTGGACTTCGTTTGACCGAGGGTGTCTCGTAATCCTCTCACGTCGTTCGTCTCGGTGAGGACTGTGTCTCATCTTCTGTGAAGGAGGGATTTTAAAGGAAGGTGAAACGCGCAGAAGAAAATCTAAGGGTAGTAAGTCAAATCAGGCGATGAATCCGCGAAAACGTTACTCACTGAAATTACAATGTTGCTAAGGGGCAAGTTCATTGAATGTAAAATGCCATCTCCTGACCCATACGGCATCGGTGAGAGGCTCATGCAAAGGACGTCTTTCGCACTCCCAATTCCACGGACATGGAATTTTAGGATATTCGCTCGAAGTAATGAGGGGAGCTTGGGAAATTAAACTCGATTATGCGGACTGATTCAAGGCGTGAGGGATGCC